CCTAGTAATTTTAGTGAATTTAAGTCAGTCTTAGCCACTGAGTTTAGCTTATTTTACTAATAAATAAAGGAGGAAGAGAATAGAACTAAATCATTTTTAGAGCAAATAAGAACTATATGTAGGCTCTTGTTTTAAGGTACATTGAGGTATCAGGATTGTTTCATATGTAGTGTCAGTTGATTGGCTAATCTGGAATTCAGTTATTACAATTACATTGGGAAATAAGGTAAAAAAAAAATAATAAACTGTGAAAGTGTTTAAGTGTGTTGGGTGTAAGTGTTTTTAACCTTTAAATGCCCTGATTAAAGCTTTTCTTGCATTGTGGCAGTTCCTGTCCATCAGACCTTACCATATAGAAAAACATTGTATCATTCATCTGTAATTGCTGTAACACCTGAATCATAGTGTGTATAAAAAGACAAGTCTAGGGGCACCTGGGTGGCTCAGTTACTAAGCGTCTGCCTTAGGCTTAGGTCATGATCCCAGGGTCCTGGGATCGAGCCCTGTATTGGGCTCCCTGCTCCACGGGAAGCCTGCTTCTCCCTCTCCCACTCCCCCTGCTTGTGTTCCCTCTCTTGCTGTATCTCTCTCTGTCAAAAAAAAAAAAAAGGACAAGTCTAAATTCCAGTCTATTCATACTGTTGGACTGATGTTCATAGTTATGAATTTTATACTCTCTGGATTATGAAGGCTGGTAGTATGAATGCTTAGATCTTTTTATCTAACAGGTGCAGTTTTTTCTGGGTACAAATCATGTAAAATTAAGATTCTTTTTTCATTTGTGCTGAAATCTTGGCTACTTTATGTAACCACATTCTAATGCTTGACAACATTGACCTTTGTAATAGAATTACCATTAAGTGTAGTGTTAGTTTGAATTATGTAATTTTAAAAACATTTTTATATTATTTACTTTTTTTAAAAGATTTTTAAAGATTTAATTTAGAGAGGGAGAGGGAGAGAGCCCACCACGCAGAGGTGCAGAGCCCGCCACAGAGCTTGATCCCAGGACCCTGAGATCATGACCTAAGTAGGATGATTAACCGACTAAGCCATACAAGCGCCCCTCTTTAATGTTTTTAAAATAAAATGATTCTCTCAGTATTAAAAATTATAAAAATTCCTCCTCACTCTAATGTTCTTAAAAATCATTGCGAGTGACTTTTTTTTTTTTTTTTTTTTTTTTAAGATTCCATCTATTCACTTAACAGACAGAGATCACAAGCAGGCAGAGAGACAGGCAGAGAGGGGGAAGCAGGCTCCCAACGGGGAGAGAGCCCAACGTGGGGCTCGCTCCAAGGACCCTGGGATCATGACCTGAGCCGAAGGCAGAGGCTTAAACCACTGAGCCACCCAGGTGCCCCTGCCAATGACTTTTTTAAACGATTAATTGTCCTTGTAACAAAATAGTAATTTCTTTATTCTAATGTCATTCGATTTTGAATTTTGATTTCACATTTTGAATTCTGCTTAGAGGTTTATGGAAAGAGTTAAAAAATGGAGTCCAAGTCATTTTGTATTTTGCAGATAGGTATAAAATATGGGGTGTTTTTCCTTCTTTAATTTACAATAAAGCATCCAAGCTGCACTTATCAGACCTCAATTACTTGGAACACCAGAAAAGAGAATTTTTAAGAGATGATAAGCAAAAAATTGATGTCAGAAAGTCCACATTCTGAAACCTGTTCTAAAAACTTTGTTTATCGGAAAACCTCTTCAGTTTTCAGAACCTGAAATATGTTTAAGAAGGTTGGCTTGATATTTTCTGCTACTTAGCAAGTTAGAAGCAGCAAGGATATGTGTACATTGATAGCAGTAAAAGGTAACATTTATCAGGGAAGGGAGATGGGACCGTGGGTGGCTCAGTTGGTAAGCGTCTGCCTTCAGTTCAGGTCATGATCCCAAGGTTCTGGGGTAGAGTCCCACGTCCTCCTTGCTCAGCAGGAAGCCTGCTTCTCCCTCTCCTACTCCCTCTGCTTGTGGTCTGTCTCTTGCCATCTCTCTCTGTCAAATAAATAAATAAAACCTTAAAAACAAAACAACAGGGAAGGGAGAGGAAAGATCATTAAAAGCCAGTACTGAGACTTGAAAGTGTAAGAGTCTAGTCAAACTCCACTAACATCCGTTAGTTAAAGAGTTATATGAGGAATGTGTGTTTGGTTTCTATATGCATCCATCCACAATTAGGATAATCATTAATACAAGATTAAATTATATGTAGTAATATAGAATAACTTGTTGAAGAAGACAGTGTTCTTTAAAACCATTCAATTTTTTAAAGTGTCTACTTCCTAATCTAAAGATTAACTTGTGGACTAGACCCCTTCATTTTCCTTGGCCTGATATTTGGGATATATAAAACTTCACAGAATTCTAAGGTAATGGGAGTATACAACTTAAATTTGGCTTTTGTGTTTCTTCAACAGACAGCTGGAAATGATCCATATTGTTTTGTGGAGTTTTATGAGCATCGTCATGCAGCTGCAGCACTGGCTGCTATGAATGGGCGGAAGATAATGGGTAAGGTAAGCTGTCATATTTAAAGAAGGTGACTTGAAAATTTTAAGTTGTATATAGTTTTTTTTTTTTTTACTATTCCTTTCTTTCTTTCATTATTGAGAGTGCACATAAGCGGGGGTGGCGGGGAGGGCAAGGGAGAGGGAGAATCCCAAACAGCCTCCATGCTCAGTGCAGAACCCAACATGATCTCACAACCCCAAGATCATGACCTGAGCCAAAATCAAGAGTCCGACACTTAACCAACTGAGCCACCCAGATGCCCCCAATTTGATTACCTTTTAGAAGCATTATATCACTTCATAGCAGAAGATCACATTTAATATTTAAAAGATGGAATAAAGCTTTTTAGAGGGTATTGTTTATTGGTATTCTTCAAGATTCCTCACACATGGTAAATACTAAAATATTTGTTGAATTACTCAAGCTTGGATAAAATCTCTAGAACTTTGGGTACTAATGGGGAAGAATAAAAAGAAAGAAATGATTGTTACTTTAGATAAGAAAGGTTATTTGAGGGGCGCCTGGGTGGCTCAGTGGGTTAAGGCCGCTGCCTTCGGCTCGGGTCGTGATCCCGGGGTCCTGGGATCGATCCCCGCGTCGGGCTCTCTGCTCAGCGGGGAGCCTGCTTCCCTTCCTCTCTCTCTCTGCCTGCCTCTCTGCCTACTGTGATCTCTGTCTGTCAAATAAATAAATAAATTAAAAAAAAAAAAAAAGAAAGGTTATTTGAATGTTAACAGAGAAGTGTGTAAGATTAGGATTTGCCAGCATTTGAGGAAGTATAGGTTTAAAGGTAAGTATTGAAACTTTGACCAGAACTATTATCCTCTTGAATGTTTCATCTCCAGCGTATGCCTTCCTGTGTGTTTATAGATGCAAATCTTGTAATACATGATTTTGAGCTTTATTTTTATGGAGCATAAATGTAGAAACATTTTTTTAGGAAGTCAAAGTGAATTGGGCAACAACCCCCAGCAGTCAAAAGAAAGATACAAGCAGTAAGTATATTTTATACTCTTTGAATATTTGTTTTTATTATACACAGTAGTTTTATTGTAAAGCATATAAACCATCATACATGTTTGCAGTAATGTTTTGATCGTTATCCTAAGATATGATTGAATGTGTTTGTGTTAATAAATTTAAGAACAAATCTAATCTTTGTCATCAGGTAGTACCGTTGTCAGCACACAGCGTTCACAAGGTAATTGTATCTTCTTAAACATAAAATGAAATCTCTTGAAAGGGTATTCACTAACCACTTGAAGTTTTTTTGTTTGATACTGGGGGGTGGTGGGAGGGAGGGGGTCATATTTCTGTTTGTCTCTCTGGCAGTATTTTTCCCCCTTCTTCCCAACGTTGACCAAATGTGGCTTGTCCACTACTTTGGTACTATTTCAAGCTCTCTGACACCCTTGGTAGCAGCTGATGCCTTAGAAATACTTTCACCTTTCACCAACTAAAGGGCAAGATACCCTGCTTTCTTGAGGTCACGATCTGTGCTGCATACCAGATCTGCCGATTGCTTGAGTTGCTCCCAAAACAGCATTTCCCAAATGGCAACCCAATATGTTGCTTAAAGCCTGCCCGATGGGGGTCATTTTTCTTTCCAAATATACTTTGTCAAAGTTGATGTATGTGTTCCTTTTAAAGTGTTGATCCAACTATTTTGTATTTTTAAAGTGTTTCTTTTTTGAATGTTGTCTTTTAAAAAAAAAAACAAAACTTCACATATGGAATCGTTATTTCTCTCCAATGCTTTTTTGATGGCTCTGATATAAAGTGAAGGGATTACTGTTTTCATTCTGTTGCCTTCAGTCTTAGTTCACTTGCACATGGATTCACATAAACTGAATGGTGTAATGTCTGGGCAACCAAAACTGTTGGCTTTTGAGAAAACTGTCAAATACTTTAACATCAAACTGTTGCATTGCAAGGTATTTCTTTGATTGTTCTTCACAAAATATGGTTAAACCAAGTATATTATGTAGCTAGCTTCAGCAAATTGTCTTAACTGAGGCAAATCTAGTCTACATAACTCACAGTACCACTATTTTATTTTAATTTTAAAACCTTAATGTAGTGGTAAACTGGATAAATGTAATCACTATTAGATGGTAATTAAGTCATTATTTTTTTTTGCAAAGCTTGTTATATATTATTAGTTTATTTTCTTAGACCAGTGTAATAATTGGCTGTAAGTGGAAATATAACTGTCAGTTTCCAGTTAGAGATAGCAGTCTTTAAGAGAATCTTTCCTATATTATCACCTTCATTCATTATAAAATTTATAGGATCTGTATAGATATAGGCTAGTGTTATACTTAATCCATAAATTAAGATTATTTTATTGAATAGATTTTAGTATATTTTAAATTCTAAAATTTTATTTTTCTTTTCACTTCCCCCTCCTCCCCCTTATAAGATCATTTCCATGTCTTTGTTGGTGATCTCAGTCCAGAAATTACAACTGAAGATATAAAAGCTGCTTTTGCACCATTTGGAAGAATATCGTAAGTAACAGAAGATAAATTTAAATGGATTTTAATTAGAAACAGGCTTATATAGAATTTGAAAATCTGTTACGAATTTTAACCCTTCCACATAATTTGTTATGTTGTTTAGAGACCATTTAAGCCATTAACAGCCAAAGATTGTTTCCCCATTGATAAATCTTTGGTCTTCCAAGTATTTTAAAATCCTTTTTCAGTTAGCATTAGCTCTTAAGAGACAAATTTGCTATGGTACATACTGTTTCTTATGTAAGTGTCTTGCTTAGCTTGGTCATAATCTTTAGTAATCTTGTGCTCTGACTGAGGAATTTAGCCTCTTGGGGTACTTCTATGATACCATGCATTTTGTATTAATATATTTTAACAAAAAGAAACCTTAACAATTCAACCTAAAAAGCAGTTGTTAAATATTAATCCCCAGGTATCTACCCTTTTGTCGTTGTTACTTTTAAAAATAATGCCTTTTAGTATTTTGTGGAGCACTGTCTTGGTTGCATTTCTTAATAATCGTATAGTTTAGGCCCTTTGTAAGTAGCTCGCTCAAGGTATTGTTCATCATAAAAGAATCTTAATATTTTGAAAAGCATGCCATAGTGGAGTAAGAATAAGTTGATTATAGTATTAGAAGTACTTGTTGAATTTAGAAAACAGAATCCTGGGGTTTCTGGTTGCTTTTTTATTGCTGTTCCAGCTAGAAGAGTAGTAAAAAGGAAACGTTAGCTTTGGTTTGGTTTGAGGAACAGAACAACAGCAGAGATGAGAAGGTGAGGAGACTGGAAAGTAAATGCTAATAGTATTGGTAGTAAATCTGGGGAGTGTTCATTTGAAGAGTTGTAGTTCATTGGTAGGAGGATGAAAATGAACAGTGACCAAAGAATGGCCACAGGTAGAGGCCAACTTTAAAGGCAGGCAGATTAGGGTTTATAAATGGACTCTTCTGTTAGGCAACATTTTTCTTTTGTCTGTGAGAACTGATTAGGAAAGTAAGTAAAGTTCTAGTTTCTTGATTGTTCCTTTTAATCTGTCAGTAGGGTGTTGATGATGGTTAGCTTGCTTTCAAATACCTAGACTGGAAGGTGTTAACCTTTGGCAGCTCAAAAGCTCTGTAAGTGTACAAAATTTTGTGTTTGTTTTCTTTTTGGTGTGGAGTATCTTTTTAAGTTTTATCCTATTTTCAGAGTAGTCACAGGACCATAAAAGGATTAAAGAAGGATTAAAGAACCCTGATCTAGATCTTTGCTGCTTCCTCCTTAGAGAATCCTTTCAGAAATAAGTAAGACTTAAATATATTTCAAGGCTAACATATCCTGAAACTTAACTTTAAGAAGAAAAAAATTTTCTAACATTTTAACAGATTCAATAGCTGTCTTTTTAAATGCTTTGATTTTGATTGAAGTAGCTTTTCTGAAAACATGGGGATTTTAGTTTGGGATTAAGTAAAGATTGTTTAACAATCAGCGAGTTCAAGTTACATGACATTCTAATTTTAATAATGACTTTTTAATCATGGATCAGTAATTTCTTTTTGTTAAATATGTTGGTATCATAGTCTAGATTTTTTTATGATCAACCATGATTATTGATGTATATATATATATTTTTTTTTTGGTGAGGTCTTTATAATTTACAATTTATGGATTATAATTTTCAGTGGAGGTAATATATAATATCTGAGTTTTAGGCTACCCAAGGAGTTATTGTTTCTAAATTTAAAAGAACCATTTTAAGTTAGCATCATTTCCCGATTTTTTTGTTAAAGGAAATAAATTGGTAAATACATATTGAACGGTTCTCATGATAGCCAGATATTCTCTGTAGAGATCCTGCAATAGTACTCAGTTTATAGATGGTGTTCAGTAAGTGGTGGCCTGTTAAAATATGTAGTATAAAAAAAAAATGTAGTATAAAAGATACGGTACTTTCCTACACTAATTTATACAGTTTATACTCTATTCCTTGAGCTTAGGGTAGTCTAACAAATTTTGGTATAAAAGTGAATCAACTACCAAATTAAATGCATGTGTACCATACCAATAATTTAATAAGTATTTTTTCATATTGAGACGTGACTTGCATTAGTTTTCCCTTTTCACCAGCACCTCTTTGTCATTTTGACCCTAAACACTTAATAAATCACTCCTAAATTGATCAAAATATGCTTATGTATACTTTAATATAAAATTATATTGCATGGCTTTCTGACTTGGGTTTTTGTTGTGAAAGTGCCTGTTTTGTTCATGTGTCCTGAGAGAACAAGCATTGTGACATACCTGGCTAACTTAAAAGCAGATTGCCTGTGAAGCACAATTTGAGTCCCAATTTTTTGAGGTATGGAGTTTTAGCTATCATGGCTGGGTTTTTTAACTCAATCTCAAATAATAGGGCTCTGGTTATTTTGCAGAGTATCTCTGAAGAATGGACAGAATTGCCCTGGCTAACTACAAGCTACGGTTCACAGTGGATAAATGTTGGCGTGCTTTTTTACTTTCTGACTTCTTAAAATTTTGCTTTTATATCTTATAGTTTCCAATCAATCTTATATGATTGCTATTTTAAAATTCAGTATAAAATCTTTTCTTATATAGTTTAAAACTAAAGTGTGTGTCTGGTGTTTTTCTTCAATGATTTATTAGCATTTCTGAAAACATCAAGTTCTCAAAATTTACCCATAGTCCAAAAGGGGGGTGTCAATTGATCTGAGAAAACAAAATAATTTAATTAATTTAGGAAATATACAGCTTTTTATTCTTTTAGTTTCCAGTTTTCTATTTTAATTTTTTTAATGATTAGGTAGTATATGGTATCAAATAGAAAATTATCAATTGCATGGTTAAAGAAAGCCATTCCTCTAATGTGCCTGTGAACCCTATAAATGGTTCAGTAATTTTATATGAATAGCTACTTTTACCATGCTTAATACTTAAAAGTTTAAAAACTTTTTGAAATGGGAGGCAGTTTTTTACAATATATACATAAATATTTAAGAAGTTATTGATTTGCATGTTTATTAAGCATCATTTGCTAATACATGATAAATTTTATAGAATAAAAGGTGAATGTGCATTAAAGGTTCATTTTAATGGAGATGAAACATAAAAATGAGTTGTGTATGACAGTCTCACTTGATATCCAGAGGAGAGTTTGCAAACCTAAACTTCTGATTATTTCTGATTTCAGAGATGCCCGAGTGGTAAAAGACATGGCAACAGGAAAGTCTAAAGGATATGGCTTTGTCTCCTTTTTCAACAAATGGGTGAGCTCAGTTAAAAAGTGCATGTGTGGTGCTTTAATACCAAAGGCTAAAGATACGCATTTTGTTTTAATAATTATCTTTGATCTGCCACTTGCTCATTTCACTGATAATTAACACCTTCGCAAGAGGATATCTTTTTTTTTTCCCCATTTGGTCATTTCTTCAGCATTTATTTAGCACCTGATACATGCAAGGTACTGATAAAATGTTTACAGAATATAGAAAGTCAGGATGTTTAAATTATCAGCCAAAGGTAGATACTGAAAATCTCATTTATTTATTTAATTCATGATCTCTCTGTTTATATTCTCATGGTAATTTAAAATGTTTTCTATTTGCTTCATATATATGAATATAGCTATTGATTATTAATATGCTATTTTACTAAATTCTCTTATTCATAGTAATTTTCCATTGGTTCTTGTGAATTTTTAAAATATAAAATCATATTACCTGCAAATATATATATATTTTACCTGCAAAAGAAAGTAACTGATAGGATGCTTAGCTGGCTCAATCCGTAGAACATGAGACTTTTGACCTCAGGGTCATGAGTTTGAGCCCCATACAGGGTACAGAGATTACTAAAAAATTAAACAAAAAAAACTTAAAAAAAAAATAAATAAAATGCTCCAGTGGGTGGGGACTTTTTAGAAATTATATACTAATGTATTTGAAAATGTCTTCTCATTTCTTTCATTTAATAATCATTTCTTAGGAACGCCTGGGTGGCTCAGTCGGTTAAGCCTCTGCCTTCGGCTCAGGTCATGATCCCAGCATCCTGGGATCCAGTCCCACATCGGGCTCCTTGCTCCACAGGGAGCCTGCTTCTCCCTCTGCCTGCCACTCTGCCTGCCTGTGCTTTCTTTCTGACAAAAAAAAAAAAAACAAAACCAACACACACACACACACACACACACACACACAAAACAATCATTTCTTAAACACATTTGCATGGACTTGAAATTTCTGGGTTTTGTGGAGAAAAGGAAGGATAGTTCAGTTTGTCAAATGAGAGGTGAGAGTAGGATATACACAGAAGGAAAAGCCTCATCCCCTGTATATCAGCTGGATAAAATCTTTGGCATGTCCTCCATACAATGTAATCATGTCCTGCTGTTTTAAAAAATATATATGTACACCATGGAAATCTTAACCCTAGCCAGTACTTACAGAGCAATAAAAGGAATCTCTGTACATACTGATTATAGAAATACTTCTGTGGTAAATTAAGTGAAAGGCTCATTTGTGTAAAAAAGGGGAGTGTGTATTTTTTAGGTAAATATATTCTCCTCACAGGTATAAACAAAAAACTTGCTGTACAGTTTTCCTCTTTGGGGGTTGGAAGTGAGAGGCAAATGGGGGTCAGAGTGGGAAGCTTATCACAGTATTGTACTGCTTGAAGCCTGAACCTTGTAAATGTACTATAAATACAAATAAATGATTTACCTCTTTTAGTGTGATAACTCAAGGTTCAAAACAGTTAAATGCCAGAGATATCAGACTTCAAAAATACAGGGGTAAATGATGGACGAATATATATGCACTGGAGTATACACTAAGGTTTCATTAACCTTAGATTTTATCCTGTTGCTTCTGTTAGGACTGACATTTGCCAAAGATATATTACAAAAACACGGCTGTACTTTCTGTGTAAGAATACCTTAGGGGTGGGGATGCCTGGGTTGCTCAGTTAGTTAAGTGACTGCCTTTGGCTCAGGTCATGATCCCCAGAGCCCCAGGATCAAGTCCCATATCTGGCTCCCAACTCTGCGAGGAGTCTGCTTATCCCTCTGACCTTCTCCCCTCTCATGCTCTCTCTCTCTCTCCCTCAAATAAATAAATAAAATCTTTTCTAAAAAATTAAAAATAAATGTGTTGTACCAGGGCACCTGGGTGGCTTAGATGGTTAAGCATCTGTGTTTGACTCAGGTCATGATCTCCAGGTCCTGGGATCAAGTCAAATCTGGCTCCCTGCTCAGTGGGGAGTCTGCTTCTCCCTCCCCCTGCTCTTGCTCTCTCTCTCTCTCTCTCTCTCTCTCCTCTCAAATACATAAATAAAATCTGTGTAAAAAAAAAAAATGTGTCATGCAGTATAGTTTTCATCCTTTCAGGAAGTGAATGAAAAAAATCCCATGTGTTAGAATATTAGAAGAAAACTTGGAAGTGGTTAAGGATTTTGAGAGGTGAAAAGATAAAGCTCTGCCATGTATATATCCCATCTACCAATTACAAGGGTTTTATTTCCTGTGAAATGAGAAAATAAAAACCAACAATATTACTGGTTTCAAAAGCTTTACTGTTAATCATAGCATAATATTTAGGAAAAGTAGAAAAATACTTCATGCAATGGGTTGATAGCTGAAGTTAGTGTGAGCTACTTGGAGGATTGATATATAGGATTTTAATGATTTGTGATACGTTGGGGAAATAGGCTTCTGTGGACTAGGAACTAATTTTTTCCATTTGAGATTATGGCATATAGGTTCCTGCTATATAGAAATCACTAATGCATAGAGTTGGCAAAGCATGTCTGTGTATGGCCTCTGGAGTCAGCCAGAGATGGATTTGAATCCTAATAGCCATCCTGTGGTAGGGTAACTTGGAGAAAGTACTTTAGTGTCCTCAGTTCACATTTCAGCATCTATAAAATTTGTTTTATGTAATTGGCAGCATTCTGGTGTGGTGAAGTGCCCCAGCCCTACTTGTGGCTACTCTCAACTCTCTTGCCTCTCTTGCCATGTCAAGCATGCTGTGGGCAAATTCAAGTACTGGTGGAACATAGCTTTTCTGCTTACTCTGAAGTAACAAAATTCTGCTAAAGAAAAACTGAGTCAGTTGGTTTTGTTTCTAATTTAATGGTTACACATGGTAAATGAGTGCATGGTACTATCTTCGCAAACCTGTTTCTTTAGTGTAAATTTGAGTTCCCATTCTTTGTTACAACTGTTTCATGCCCCCTCCTATCTCCTCAGTATTCCTCTTTTCTCCAGCATCACCCCAAAGATGACAAGATTAATGCTTTAGTGAGAAAACAGAAGCTATACAGGAATTCCCTCAGCTTTGAACCACCAAACCTACATAGAAATCATCCACCTTCCTCTTGTGTTACAGTAGAAATGTCCTTCCTATGGAGGCCAAAGTACTTAAAACTGGGATCTTAACTTTTCTTGCCTTTTCAAGGACCTTGTTCCTATGCTTATTCTTATTCCTTTTTTTCCCCTATTATACGTTTATTGAGATATAATTCACATACCATAAAATCTACTTGTTTGGGCGCCTGGGTGGCTCAGTGAGTTGAGCGACTGCCTTCGGCTCAGGTCATGATCCCGGACTTCCAGGATCAAGTCCCGCATCGGGCTCCCGGCTCCTTGGGGAGTCTGCTTCTCCCTCTGACCTTCTCCTCTCTCATGCTCTCTCTCTCAAATTCTCTCTCAATTAAATAAATAAAATCTTTTATAAAAAAAAAAAAATCTGGGATGCCTGGGTGGCTCAGTTGGTTGGGCAGCTGCCTTCGGCTCAGGTCATGATCCCAGCGTCCTGGGATCGAGTCCCGCATCGGGCTCCTTCCTCTGCGGGGAGCCTGCTTCTCCCTCCGCCTCTGCTGCCACTCAGCCTGCCTGTGCTCACGCGCTCTCGCTCTCTCTCTCTCTCTGGCAAATAAATAAGTAAAATCTTAAAAAAAAAAAAATTAAAAAAAAATCTACTTGTTTATGTGTACAATTAAGTTGTTTTTAGAATGTTTATAACGGGCACCTTGGTGGCTCAGTGGGTTAAAACCTCTGCCTTGGGCTCAGGTCATGATCTCAGGGTCCTGGGATCGAGCCCCACATCAGGCTCTCTGCTCAGTAGGGAGCCTGCTTCCTCCTCTCTCTGCCTGCCTCTCTGCCTACTTGTGATCTCTGTCTGTCAAATAAATAAAATCTTAAAAAAAAAAAAATTCAACTCTTACAGAGTTGAATTTATAAATTAGAATGTTTACAGCTATCACAATTTTATAATATTTTTATCACCCCAAAAAGATACATACTCTTTGGCAGTCACTGTCCTTTTCTTTCTATACCCTCTTCAACCCTGAGCAACTTTTTTTTTTTTTTTGAGGGAAGTCTAGGGAGGGAGATAATCTTTTTTTTTTTTAAGATTTTTATCCATTTATTTGACAGATCACAAGTAGGCAGAGAGTGGGGGAAGCAGGCTCCCCGCCAAGCAGAGAGCCCAAGACCCTGGGATCATTACCTTGGACCCTGGATCCCAGGACCCTGAGATCATGACCTGAGCCACCCAGGCGCCTCGGAGAGAGAGAATCTTAAACAGGCTCAGCCAGTTGTGTCCAACTCTTGATTTTGGCTCAGGTCATGATCTCAGGGTCATGAGGTCAAGCCCTGTGTGGCTCCTCACTGGGCATGGAGCCTGTTTAAGATGGCACCCCTGCCCTGAGCAACTATCAATCTACTACTATATCTACTATTATTAATCTACTACTACTACTGTAGATTTTTCTGTTTTGAAAATTTTCTTTCTATAAATAGAATTGACTAATACATTTTTTGGTGTTCTCTTGCCCTGTGTCATCGGTTTTTCCTCTCCACTGGATCATTCCTGCGAACGAGAAAACATGATTCGGGACACCTGGGTGGCTCAGTGGATTAAAGCCCTGCCTTCAGCTCAGGTCATGATCCCAGGGTCCTGGGATCGTGCCCTGCATCAGGCTCTCTGCTTAGCAGGGAGCCTGCTCCCCACCCCCCACTCGCCTGCCTCTCTGCCTACTTGTGATCTCTGTCTGTCAAATAAATAAATAAAGTCTTTAAAAAAAAAAAGAAAAGAAAAAACATGTTTCTAGTATGTATTAATCAAACCATGCTTGGGGTACCTGGCTGATTGGTAGAAGATGTGACTCTTGATCTCAGTCACATTTGTGAGCTCAAGCCCCATGTTGGGCATGGAGCCTCTCTTTAAAAAAAAAAAAAAACAGCAACAACAAAAAACACGCACAGACTCGACCCCGTATCAATCCCTTTCCTACGTATCTCCCCATTTCTCTGCCATAATTCAGAATCAACCTTCTCAAGGTGTTTGTCCTTGTGCTTCCGCTGCTTCTTCTCCTATTCACAACCATACACACACAAACACACACACACACCCCATACAAAATTTTTCCCCTCTTTTATCAATAGTTGTATTAGTTTCCTGGGGCTGCTATATCATAGTACCATAAGCTGAATGACTTAAAACAAGAGAAATTTGTTCTCTCAAAGTTCTAGAGGTAGAAGTCCAAAATCAAGGTTGTCATCGTGGCCGTGCTTCCTCTCAAGGCTCTGGAGAACTCTCCCTTTGTACTTTCTGACAGTTGTCAACAATCATTGGTATCCTTGCTGTCCTTGGCTTGTAGCTACATCATTCTGGTCTCTGCCTTTGTTTTCACATGGCCTTCTTCTTGCTGTGTGTCCACATTGTCTTCTCTTCTTACAAGGTCATCATTCATACTGGATTTCCCTAATCCAGGATGATCTCACCTTTTTCTTTAAAAAAAGATTTTATGTATTTATCTGACAGAGATCACAAGTAGGCAGAGGGGCAGGCAGAGAGAGGGGGGAAGCAGACTTCCTGGTGAGCAGAGAGCCTGATGTGGGGCTTGATCCCAGTACCCTGGGATCATGACCTGAGCCAAAGGCAGAGGCTTAACCCACTGAGCTACCCAGGCACCCCTTAGTTAGAGATTTTATTTATTGCTTGCATGGAGGGGTAGTGGGAGGGATGGGGTGGCTGGGTGATGGACACTGGGAGGGTATGTGCTATGGTGAGTGCTAGGACTTGTGTAAGACTGATGAATCACAGACTGTAGTCCTGAAACAAATAATGCATTATATGTTAATACAAAAAAAAAGATTCCGCATATGAGTGAAATCACAGTAAAGATTTTATTTATTTATTTGAGAGATGAGAGCATGAGTGGGGTGGTGGGGGCTGAGGGAGATGGAGAAGCAGACTCCCCTCTGAGCAGGGATCCCACTGTTGGGGCTCTATCTCAGGACCCTGGGACCATGACTTAAGCCAAAGGTAGACACTTAACCAACTGAGCCACCTAGGTGCCCCAAGATTTTATTTATTTTAGAGCATTCATGAGTGAGGGTAGGGGCAGAGAGAAAATCCTGAAGCAGACTCCCTGCTGAGCATGGAGCCCAAAGTTTCAGGGCTTGATCCCACATCCCATGTGATCACAACCTGACCCAAAACCAAGTTGAACGCTCAACTGACTGTGTCACCCAGGCATCCCTAGAGTGATCTTAACTAATACATCTATAAAGATCCTATTTCCAATTTGGATGACGTTCACAGTTGGGGGCAGGTGGTAGTTAGGACTTTATTTCAATTTAAGGGACACAGTTCAACCCACAACAATAAATATGTCCTGGAATTTGAACTGGTAAGTATGGTAGACAATGTTGGTTTCTTTGTAAGAATTTGCATTTCCTTTTTATGTGTCTTAAGACTGGCCTTTAGCCTTGAATTTGCCTGTTCGTTCTTTCTAGGTCAAGCCCACATACTTACAAATCAGAATTGTACCTCATTTACTTTTCAGTTCACTGTAAGCTGGCTTTTGTTCTCACTCTTTACCAACACTACTCTTTTTTTTTTTTTTTTAAGATTTTATTTATTTGACAGATATCACAAGTAGGCAGAGAGGCAGGCAGAGAGAAAGAGGGGGAAGCAGGCTCCCCGCCAAGCAGAGAGCCCGATGCAGGGCTCCATCCCAGGACCCTGAGATACTTACCTGAGCCGAAGGCAGAGGCTTAACCCACTAAGCCACCCAGGCGCCCACCAGCACTACTCTTTTCAGGTTTACCACTAGATTTCTACTTCTTTGGCTCTGGAACAGTACACTTTTGTGGATTTCTTCCTTCATCACTGGGAACTTCTTCGGCACCTTCACTAGGAATTTTTCCTTTACCTAGTTTTCAGATTTTGCTTTTTTTTACAAGGGTCGGTCCCAGGATGCCCTCTTTTCTCCCTAGTCTTTCTTCATGACTCTGAATTCCATATGTTCAATTCATTTTACTTCTTTGTGCTCCATACTAATTAACAAGTGGCTTTCATTTAGATGTCTTACGGATGTCTCAAATTTAATGTGTCTTAAATGGAGTACTTTGTTTCTTCCTCATACCTGTTTTCCTCTTCCCTCCTAGGTTTCACATTTCATTAAATGCTAACTAACACTATCCTCCCTACTGCCCCAGAAGGAATGTAGGAATTATCTTTGATTTCTTCCCCTTTTACTTATAATCAGAATTCTCTTGAATCTTCCTGTAGGTTATATCCACTGCTTTGTGTATTGCTTTAGTCTCAGAATGTCTTTTTCCTCTTACTGCCCATCTCCCTAAACTGTTCTCTTCCTAGTGCTAAGAATGGCCTTGTTAAATCATAAATCAGATCATGACAATTTCTTACTTAAAATCTTTAGTTTTTTCCTCTGGGACTCTTTTTAGCTCACTAGATTCCACTGAAACTAGTTGTCTTTAACATGCCTTTTTTTTTTCTTGTTAAGATTTTATATATTTATTTGAGAGAGAGCACGTGCAAGAGCAGGGTGAGGGGCAGAGGGAGAAGCAGGCTCCCATGGAGCAGGGAATCCAACACAGGGCTTGATCCTGGGACTCCAGGTTCTCTACCTGAGCTGAAGGCAGACCCTTAACCGACTGAACCACCCAGGTGCCCCAATATGCTTTTTTCAGATACGTACCAAACTTTCCTGCGAGAACACACTTTGCAGTGCTTTTCTTTTCACCAGGGCTTTCTTCCCTGGAGTTTCTACTTGGCTACCTGCTGTTCCTCTCAGTTTCAACGTAAATGATAGATTTTAGAGAGACCTTCTTTAATCATGCTGTCTGAAATAGATCCCAAAGCCCATATTCTCTAGGTCATCCTTTTGTGTTTAATTTTAAAAGGTTTTTTTTTAATGAATTAGATTGGCAGGCAGAGAGAGAAGCAGGCTCCTTTCCTGAGCCTGACACAGGGCTCCATCTAGGACCCTGGGATCGTAACCTGAGCTGAAGGCAGACAACCATCTGAGCCACCTAGGCACCCTAATCCTTTTGCTTCTGTCATGGCATTTACCACAATTTGTAATAAGTTTGTGGCCCCAAAAGAATGTCAGTTCTGTGGCAGCAGAGACCATGTCTGTCTCATTAACCAGTGAATCCCTAACACTTAATCTGCTGGTAGAACATTACAGCTGTTCGGTGTTTACTTGTTGGATGAATGAGAAACCAAATACTGTTACCAAGTTTGTTGGATTGTGTAAAGTGAGGTTTTCATCCATAATAGTCTGATTATTACATGAACTTTATAACAGCTATCTCATAAGGGCTCTGGGGCTCTTAACTTTTTCAGGTAGTTAACATTCCTGAAGTCTGATATCCAAATAAAAGAAAGATAATTTAAAAACACCATTGCACTTTAGGAAGCACATTGTATATTGTATATTTTATAAAGCATTTTCATTTAGTAGACATTTGTGAAAAGCAGCTGAATTTTCTCTACTGCGAATAGTCTTTCAACATCAACTAATGGTAGCTTCTTTGTCATTTCTAATGTGCGGAACAGGATGCCGAAAACGCCATTCAACAGATGGGTGGCCAGTGGCTTGGTGGAAGACAAATCAGAACTAACTGGGCAACCCGAAAGCCTCCAGCTCCAAAGAGTACATATGAGTGTAGGTGTATTGGAGAAGAAAAGGAAATGTGGAATTTTGGAGAAAAATACACTAGATTTTAAATGTTAGAGCTGTTCCCGGAGACTTATTGCAGAAATAGATGAGAAGCAAATCAAGACTACTGTTGAAAATGTACTTAGTTTTCATTTTTGTAATTTTAAATAATAAATGATATTGTCTCTAGTGTCAAGTCTCCTATTAGATAGAGAATATTGAGTAATTTTTTAGACATTCTTGGGGAAGATTTAATCCTCAAATGTATTATGTATTGTGTAAGCATTTTGGTTAAGGTAAAAATTACCATTACAGTAGTGTAGTTGATGGCTGCTTTTCTCTTTCTGATAAGTTCATTATTTAATGAATTTAAAATATTAAACTTTTCCCTCCCCAGCAAACACCAAACAGCTATCATATGATGAGGTTGTAAATCAGTCTAGTCCGAGCAACTGTACTGTATACTGTGGAGGTGTCACTTCTGGGCTGACAGGTATGGAGTCTTACCTCTGTGGCATTTTGAGGTTAATTTTTTAAATGAAAAGCTTAATGTCTATAGGATTTTATATAACTTGGTATGGTTTGTTTTTGTTTTTGTTTTTGTCTAACAGAACAACTAATGCGTCAGACTTTTTCACCATTTGGACAAATAATGGAAATTCGAGTCTTTCCAGATAAAGGATATTCATTTGTTCGGTATGGGTGCTTTTTAAAAAAAAAACTTTTTCCCTAGAAATCATTTTGAATATTTCACTTAGTAGTTTTCTTAAAAATTTAACCTTGATTTTAAAGAAGTAGAAATTTCTCTACCATTTAGCAACATTTACCACTGTGTTTTAGCGGCTCCCTCCTTGTAACCACAAGATCAATAAAACATTCTCTATCAGAGGACATTTTTTCAGAACTAGAAGATTTTTGGGGAAATATATGGAAGAAAGTACACCATGTTACTCTTTCATGTGAAGTGCCTGTTTTACCTCAGGCTCAGCTTGATTTTAAGAATAGGTTTTATTCAGGGCACCTGGGTGGCTCAGTGGGTTAAGCCGCTGCCTTGGGCTCAGGTCATGATCTCAGGGTCCTGGGATCGAGCCCCGCATCGGGCTCTCTGCTCAGCAGGGAGCCTGCTTCCTCCTCTCTCTCTGCCTGCCTCTCTGCCTGCTTGTGATCTCTCTCTGTCAAATAAATAAATAAAATCTTTAAAAAAAAAAAAGAATAGGTTTTATTCATAAGTACTTTAAACAGTTTATATTGCTGATTCTTAATATTCTTTTCAATAGGTTCAATTCCCATGAAAGTGCAGCACATGCAATCGTTTCTGTTAATGGAACTACCATTGAAGGTCATGTGGTGAAATGCTATTGGGGGAAAGAAACTCTTGATATGATAAATCCTGTGCAACAGGTGAGAGGGTTCTTTACTTTGGACAGTAATTGCTGGGCTAATAATAGATTATTTTAAAATGAAATTATTGATAATCCTTGTTAATAGTTTCTAGCTAAAATGATAATACATAAGGGCTCTTCCTACATGTATTATAGTTCTAGAATTGTAGTGTACCTAATGGGGTATTCAGGCTTTTTTCTTAATACTTGGTAGATTTATTCACATACTATTTGGAGAACTCACAAACATGTTTGACTCAGTTGAAACAAAAGCTATAAATATATTTAGAGCCTTGGCATTTTTTCTAGATTTTGCTGCTTTTGTTTTTCCCGGCAGCTTTAGTGGTTCACATGTGATCCCATAAAGATTTCTGTGAAGGGGGGCCTTGGGTGGTTCAGTCAGTTAAGCATCTGACTTTTGGTTTTGGTTCACGTCATGATTTCAGGGTTGTGAAATTGAGCCTTGGGTCAGCTCCGTGCTGGACATGGAGCCTGCTTAATATCCCCCGTCTTGCATGCTCTTGTATTCTCTCTTTAAAAAAAAAAAGTTTTCTGCGAAGAAACTGTAAGTGGAGCATCAAGATAGGAATAAGAAACTCCTAAACTATATAGGATATATAACTTTCTTAGGTAAACTAAATATAGGAATAAGTAATCCTTTTCTGTCTTCCCTATCTAGTTTAATTTACAAAACACTTAAGTGTTGTACTGAGTTTGATATTTATTACTGGGACATTACCTACTCCCTTACAAAGAGTGTGCCATTTCGAGTATCATATGGAGTTACAGTAGTATAACTCACTCTCTCTTTTTTTTTTTTTTTAACTCATTCATCTTATAAACTCTTGTTTATCCTTTTATTTTAATTGCAGTGATGGCCTGATGTGTTATCCCTATATATTTGTGACACATCACAAATTGTGATACATTTGTGGTACTGTATGTGTACATGTAACTTCAAATACTAAATTACTTGTTACAATTTTACTTAATAGCAGAATCAAATTGGATATCCACAAGCTTATGGCCAGTGGGGCCAGTGGTATGGAAATGCGCAACAGATTGGCCAGTATATGCCTAATGGTTGGCAGGTACCTGCATATGGAATGTATGGCCAAGCATGGAATCAGCAGGGATTTAAGTAAGCATATTTTCTTTTTTCCCTTTTTATTAGCCTTTGAAAAAAGAGCTTAGGAAGAGACTTTAAATAATTAGTAGGTAATGTGGTCCTCTGTCTAAAGCAAGTTTTAGCCTTTGAAGGACTTAGTTTAGAGCTGTTTTTAATAAATAGTTTTAAGTGTATTTCTTTAAAAATTTATCTGGAAATGTGCTGCTCTGAGGCATAACCGGTATTAAAAGAATTTTGGTAATACTTAGTAATGAATCAACTAATATTTAGGTAAAAAAATAAGAGCTTAATAACTGCTAAGCTTTTTATGTGACTACTGATCATTTAGCCATTCTTGGATACAGTTATTTTGATGCTAGTGTTTTATTCGTTATGCTTTTTACTTTGTGCGCTATAGGGTTTCTTCACACATTGTTATATGGGCACTTCTTTATACACCTTGAATTATGAAACTTAAATTTTTGAAAAAGAAACTAAAAATACTTCGTAGTTTTTATTTTAAAAGAATTTTCTATTTGTGGGCTGCCTGGCTGGCTTAGCCATTAGAGCATGAGAATCTTGATTTTGGCGTTTGAAGTTTGCACCCCATGTTGGATGTAGAGTTTACTTAAAAGTAAAATCTTTTAAAAAATAAAAGAACCTTATATTTGTAATGTTGAAAAATATTATGAGTTTTCATATGCTAATAATTGCTTTAATTTTTTCTTTGAGTAATGTAAGTGGTAGTCTCTATTGTGCCAAATGATCAAGTTTCTTTCAGGTAGTGACTTGTTCAGTGTATGTCTAACCCAGATGCATAGTTTTCCTTTCTGAGGTCAGAAATGACTTTTTTCTGAATTCAAAGGGGATAAATGTAAAGGGTATTTTTATTTTTTTAGCTGTATTAAACTAACAAAATCAAACTGCACAAATTAAACCTATGAGGATGCTTGTTTTTAAGAGAAAAAACTTTGCCTTTGCTTTCCCTGGCATAACCATTATTCTCCTATTTGGACTTAAGTAAAAGTAGTTTTTCCATGTATATGTTATTTTTTTCCTTGGCATTACATTTTATTTTAACCAGTGAATTTCCCCTCCTCTCTGCTTCTTTCACATTTTCTACCAGTCAGACACAGTCTTCCGCACCGTGGATGGGACCAAATTATGGAGTGCAGCCACCTCCAGGACAGAATGGCAGTATGTTGCCTAATCAGCCCGCAGGGTACCGAGTGGCAGGGTATGAAACCCAGTGAAAGAGGACTCCATAATCTACAGCCAGTGGCTTGAGGCTACAGGGAGTGTAGTAAAGCCGTGTTTACTTAAAGATTTATCAAATCAGTCAGTGCAAATGTCAGATACAATGTATTTATTTAAAAGATTCATTTTTTAATCATGAAATTACTTATCATCCACATTGTTTTAAAAAGAAACAAGATGCTGGATGTCTGCCAATTTTTGCCTTCATTACCTTTTTTGATAAAGTTTCTCAGATCCTTGTTTCAAATACAAATGCAGGGATTGCTGCCACTTTTTTAAAATTAAGAGGCAGAAAATTGCACAATGTTGAACTTTTTTCCACTAAAGTAGTGTGCAGTTCTAGTTTGCATTCCTGATATGATTTAAAACATGTAATATAAAGATGTCAAAAAAAAAAATGAAGAACCAAAACTGTGCAAAGTCTAGAAGTTCTTTGTAATCTTCAGCTTGTGCACAATTCTGTTTTAGGTTTGTTTTTGTTTTTGTTTTTTTAAGGCATTGTTTGAACTGTCCCATCTCCACTGTTTCCCTTCAGGGTTTTAAAATATAAATTATTAGTTTACATCATTTTTGTAACTACATTTTTCACAAATTTGTCTTGCCTTATTAAATTTCTGTAAAATATACTTAAATGGGGAAAAAATGATGTTCACTTAGATTGAAAACTTTTCTCAGATGGATTGATAATTGCATTCATTTTGTGTTTTATATGAGAAGGTGCCTCAAGAATTCCCTCTTGGATTTGTTTAAAGGATTTTTATCTTCTCTGATAAACTCTGCTGTGTACCAGGAAATATAAAAACAAAAACTTGCTACTCAAGAAAATCTCTGAAATGTGAGAAGTTCTTATGAGCCCGTGTTAATTTCATGTATCAACTTCTACATTTACATGTATTGTTTCATTCTGTAAAATGTTTAGCAATTTAATATTTTGCACAGTTAGCAAGCTTTGTACGTCATTTCCTTCTGAAAGGCATCAATCATGCAGAGTTGACAGGAGATTTCTAAGGTTTTAAGTTGTTTGCATGTGAATATCAAATACACACTTTGGTAGTCTTTGAATACAAAGTCATCTGGTCTTGTTTTTCAAGAATTTTGAGACACGAAGTTGTATGTAAAGGAATATATTAATTTGCCATTTTCTAGTTATATTTACTCAAAAAGAGTAAATCAACTTAGTTTTAATATGTACAAATGACAGCTGTGAAACTGTAGAATATCCTATATCAGGCTTGGAGTTCATTGTGAACTTTAAAATTAGCCTGAAGGACCAGCCGGGCAAAGCATTTTTTAAATGTTCAGAGGCCAAAAGATAAACAAACAAACAAAAAAACCTTAAAATCCTACCTCCTTAAACAGCCTTCAAAGAGGAGAATCCTCAGTGCAATCATTATTTTGATTCTTTTGGTACCTGTTTCCTGGAGTTCCCAATTTTTTTATTTTGGGGTGGCTCCGAGCATTAAGAGGTTTAATCTTTGATGGCATTGTTCTAGTTTTGAAATTTCTAGTACATTTCAGAGTCTCTTAGAAACGTTGTGGGAGATTTTTGTTTTGTTTTCAGTGAAAGTCACAAACTTTCTTCTTCCTTTACTCACAAAGGGGAAGAGTCCCCAGTATACTTATTTGGATGGTTTGTTATTTTTAAGACCTTCAGAGAGCTCCTAGCATTTAGCCGCAGAAAAGGCCTGTGAAATCTTAAGTTTCCTGGCCTTGTCTCTTCCAGGTAGGAGCAAATTAAACTGGTCTCTAAAGCCAATATTCATGTAAACCAGAGCCCAGGAAAGACAGCTCATAAGTGTATAATTCTCTGGAGCTCAATTCTATGCAGTTGTACTGATGTTTCATTATGTCACTGTGTATTTTTAAGTGTTGATACATTAAATGTTGCTTTATGGAAGATGAGTAAATTTTTTAAATACTTGGGAATTTTATTTCCTTGTTAACGTCTACAGATCAGGGCATGCAACCAGAAGCAGCTTAAATGAAATACTCAAAAAATAAAATATCAGGAAGCTATTTTTAGATTCTTCTGGTTTATGTTTCTATTTTAGGACCCTCATTATTTTTCTTACTCAAAAATATTTTATTTCCTATACATCTATGGACTGCAGGGTAAATTATTTGGGCATAAGTAATTTAAGCAAAAGTATAGTTTTTCTTTCATTTTGGCTTTCTCAAGTAACACTTTTTATTAGCCAGTATATTTTCTTATTGCACAAATCTTAAAGTATACATTAACTACTTTTTGAGAAGAAAGTGGTATTTCTCAAAAAGTTACTACTGAACAAATTGACATTTCAGGAACATTGCTAACTTTGGTTTAAATCTTACTCCTAGTGTTAAAATCATTTAAAGACTTTTTTAGTCTAAAAATAAAACTGGTATTACTATCAGGTGAGGAAATTAAAGTTTTAAAAATGGTTTCATTCTCTGCAATATGCATTCAGATTTTACTATAATATATCTGGTACTGTAAAGAACCTGAAGTGATTCACACTTTAATGGGTCGTTAATTCAGTATTCTTTGCCCTGTTTGGATATTAAAGTTCCTTTATGTTTTCTATAACCTATGGGATCTTCTTGCAGTGATTATTGTGTGTGAAAGATTTTTCTTTTTGGTTTAACCATATTATATTCACTCAGGTATTTGTTAGTTTTTTTTTTTTTTAACCTTATTCCAGAAACCATGGTTTGCATTGAATTATGATTTAATACCACAAAAGAATTGGCATTCTGTAGATTTAACTCATTTTGAAACCAGGATCTCATTTTCCTTGTTGATACTATTTCCCTGTCAAAGATGAGTTCCACAATGTAGTTTTATTCTCCTGTTTTGTCCCTATGCTTGCTCGTTTTCCTTTTTTATGTGTGTTAGAGTTCAGTTGACATTTGAGAAGGCAGTTGGTAGGGACTAGATTGTATATACAAAGAGAGTTAGGTTTACTAAGTGCTGTGGGGTGCTCTTGAGGTTATGGTTAAATTAGAAAAGTTAAGTGTATTCGTAGGAATTAAAAAGCAAACCCTTTAGAGGCACCTGGCTGGCTTGGTTAGTAGAAAACATCCAACACTTGATCTTGGGGTTGTGAGCACAAATCCCCACGTTTGGGTGATTTCTCTTTAAAAAAAACGAAAAAAAAAAAAAACAAAACTTTTTTTTTTTTTAAGATTTTATTTATTTAACACAGAGAGAGAGATCACAAGTAGGCAGAGAGGTAGGCAGAGAGAAGGAAACAGGCTCCCCACTGAGCAGAGAGTCCTATGTGGGGCTAGATCCCAGGACCCTGAGACCATGAGGCAAAGGCCCTGAGACCTGAGGCGAAGGCAGAGGCCTAACCTGAACCACCCAGGCGCCCCGGAAACAAACCTCTTTCAATGACATATGATTTCTAAAAACAAAATCATTTTTTTGTAGGAGGTTTTTCCATTTTTTCCTATGACTGCATTTTGACTATTGTGTTTAGAACTGGAAGAACCTACTTTCAAAACAACACATTTTAATTTAGGAGCTTTAATAAAACATATATGAATGTGTCTTGGTTGAATAGGATTTTGTATTACGGCCTCTGAAGTTGGAAGTGGCTGAAGTTCTAATAGTAATTCAGCTAAAAAAAGAAAAAGTGGGCATCCGACTCAGGATTACTGGGCTCAGAATAGGGATTAAGTCCAATTTTAATAATGCTAAGTAAATGAGATTCCTAGCTGCTTATCCTTACTCAGCTCTAGGATTTGGAGGATCCTTATATGGAAAAAATAAACAACCTTTGAAAGAAAAGACAGATGCTGACATTTGAGGGTCCCCACCAAAAACCCAAGCTGGCCAACAATCCCCTTATAGTTGAGAATGACAATCTTAAGTAAGTCCTGCCCATGTACGCAGGTCTTCCAAACAGGTGTTCAGTGCTTCACGTTTAAATAAAGACAGCTAAAGATCACCAGAAATTGGGCACCTGGGTGGCTCAGTCAGTTAAGCATCTGCCTTTGGCTCAGGTCATGATCAGAGGGGTCCTGGGAGCGAGCCCTGCATCAGGCTCTCTGTTCGTCAGGGAGCCTACTTCTCCCTCTCCTTCTGCCTGCCACTCCCCCCCCCCCCCCCCCGTTTGTGCACTCACTCTCAATCTGTCTCTCTAAAATAAATACAGTCTTGAGGAAAATATCACCAGAAATTGAGGAAAAGTTTGTGAAAGATGTAAACAAAAAGCCAATTCTCAGGAATCCAAAAAACTTCTAAGAACTGTAGTATTCTCAGATAAAAGAAGGTACTCTAAGAAATTAGAACAGGAGGGGCGCCTAGGGGCTCAGCTGGTTGGTAAACGTCTCTGTCCTGATCGGGTCATGATCCCAGGGTTGAGGGATTGAGCCCAGCATCAAACTCTCTGCTCAGTGGGGAGCCTGCTTCGAACCCTCTTTCTCTACCTGCTGCTCTGCCTGCTCGTGCTCTCTCTGTCAAATAAATAAAACCTTAAAAATTTTTTTAAAAATTAGAACAGGATACTAATAAAATGTTAGAAGAAATTAAAATATGAATACATTTAGTGAGATTGTTAAAAGGAAATGTTCTAGAACAGAAATCAATAAAAGTAGAGGGGGAAAATAAATAGGAATCAATTCAGGAGGTTTAAATATAACCAACAGGAGTTCCAGGAAGAGAACTGAGAAAATAAAGCAGTGGTTGAAATTTATTAGAAAATAAAATTTCTTGATAAAATTATGAGTGTAAAGATTGAAAAAAAGCTCTTACTAAATTAGCACAATAAATATTAAAGACCCGTAGGAAGGCATATCACCATGAGACTTTAGGACACCAGACATAAAGAGAATAAAATTTACCAGAGAGCAGAAGAATTGAGAATAATACTCAACAGCAACACTAGAAACTAGAGATCCATGGGGGTAGTGCCTTCAAAGTTTGAATTATATATCCAATGATATTTTATATACACACATGCACTGTCATAGGTGACCGTAAAATAAAATTTTTGGATATGCAACTTGAAAGATTCTCTTCCCTGAGTTTACTGGTTCTCAGTTACTAGATAAGCTCCATAAAAATGAGAGCAAATAAAAAAATGTGTCTAGGAATTGGATCCAACATGGGTCCATGGATAACAGCTGTGAAGCAACTCGACAGTGAGTCTAGGTCGATGGTCAGAGGGCTCAACTTGATCATCTGACAGTTTGGCTATGTAGATAATTATGTAGAATGAGCCATTTTACAGTAGGGTGGAGAATTTAAGAAGAATTTGATGTTGGAAGAAAATCGGGCAGGTGAGAAGAGGCAATTGTCGGGAAAAATTTCCTACCGTTAAAGAAATATTCCCTTCCTGGGCAGAGTACATGTACTAAGATTTAAGTTTTCCTGAATTACACTGGTAAATAATTTGTAGTATTCCACTGCTTAGAATATTGTTGGATTTCCCCTGCCTATCATCTGTTTCTATCATTTGTTCTTAGTTCTTTTTATCTTTTTGTTTGCTTTTCTCATTTCTAATCTCTTGTTTGGTAACATGCTTCCTATGATTTCCAGACTCATTGTGCTCTTTTAATTTAGTAATTTTTTAAAAGACTTACTTATTTTAGAGATTGAGAGAGAATGAATGAGGGGAGAGGCAGAGGGAGAGAGGGAATCCACAAGCAGACTCCCCACTGAGCATGGAGCCTGATGTGGGGCTCCATCTCAGACCTTGAGAGATCATGACCCGACCAGAAACTAAGAGTCGGCTGCTGAACTGACTGAGCCACCAACACACCTCTAGTCTTCATTTCTGAAATGGTTTTGTCATTTTCTGTTTCCTAAGTTAATACCAATTTCTGTTTCGCTTCAGGGACGTATCATCCCTGAGTTCTTGGGGGTTTTTGTTGTTGTTGTTTAATTTTAGTTCCAGTAGAGTTAGTTTAGGTGTATGGTATAGTGATTCAACAGTTCTATGTATTAGTGCTCATCAAGGTAAGTTACTCTCAATCCTTTTTACCTATTTCACCCATCAGCCCACCCACCTCCCCTCTGGCAACCATTTGTTTGTTCTCTGTAGTTAAAGGTTTGTTTTTTTGGTTTGTCTCTTTGTTTCTTTGTTTTGTTTCTTAAATTCCACATATAAGTGAAATCACATACAAGTCAAATCATTTGTCTCTGACTTAATTCACTTAGGATTATACTCCAGATCCATCCATGTTGTTGCAAGTGGCAATATTTTATTCTTTTTCATGCCTAAGCAATTTGTGTGTGTGTGTGTGTGTGTGTGTGTGTGTGTGTGTGTGTGAACCCCACATCTTCATCCATTCATCTATCAATGGGCACTTGAGCTGCTGCCACAGATTGGAAGAGGGCATATATATATATACATATATACATATATGTATATATATATATATGCTTTTAATCTTTTTTTTTTAAGATTTTATTTATTTATTTGACAGAGATCACAGATAAGCAGAGAGGCAGGCAGAGAGAGAGGTGGGGAAGTAGGCTCCCCGATGAACAGAGAGCCCGAGGCGGGGCTCAATCCCAGGACCCCAGGATTATGACCTGAGCTGAAGGCAGAGGCTTTAACCCACTGAGCCACCCAGGCGCCCCGGGCATATAGATTTTTTGAATTAATGTTTACATATCCTTTGGGGAAATACTTAGTAGTGAGATTACTGGATCATATGGTAATTCTATTTTTAATTTTTTTAGGAACCTCCATACTGTTTTCCACAGTGGCTTCACTACTTGCATTCCCACCAGCAGAGCATGAGGGTTCCTTTTTCTCTACCTTCTCACCAATGCTTGTTCCCTGTGTTTTTATTTTTGCCATCCTGACAGGTGTGAGGAATTCTTATACGTTGCATTTGTTTCATTAGTTTTGTTTAATTCACATTGGATAGTTGGTGTATTATTTGCAGCTGCTTTGTGGGAACATTTTTCTTGTGTGTTCTCTTGAGGGAAACTCTAGGTAAGTTCTGCTATTTCATATTTTTAATTAAGAGTATGGCACAAGTGCTGTGTTATCCTTTCCATTTATTTGTATTTGAAACTGTTAGGAGAATGTAGGAGAGGAACCCTGTCCAGTTTTCTCACCTCCTCCTCTGGCAACAATGAATTATCTGTCTTGGGATGTGACTTTTTTCCCCAGATTTTATTTATTTGTTTGAGAGAGAACAGGAGCAGGGGGAGCAGGAGGGAGAGGGAGAAGCAGACTCCCTGCTGATCAGGGAGCCTGATATGGGGCTCTATTCCAGGACCCCAGAATCATGACCTGAGCTGAGTGAAGGCAGACGCTTAACTAAGTCACCCAGGCACCCCAAAAAGGATATCTTAATATAAATAATTGCTAAATAGTAAGGGGTGTGGTTAACTACTAAAAGGGGTAAAACAACCATTAAAGGGATCCAGAAGTCGCAGGTGAAAATGAAAGCAGCTACTACTAATAAACAGTGGACAAGGAGGGAACTAGGAGTTTAGGAGAGCCCTGAGATTCTGACCTCTTCCAAGGGAACTTGGTTACCACAGAATGTGCAGCCTGGCGAAGAAACATGCCAGAGGGCGTGGGCCATAGCTGGTCCATAGAAGTCATCTACTGTTTCCAG